GGAAAACAATCTTTAAACTTCAATTTCCTCATCTGTAGCCTGGAGACAATAACATATAGGGTGGTTGTTGGGATAAATGAGATAATGCATGTGATGTTGTTAACATAACATGTAATGTTTTAATATTTATATAACATATCTTCACTGCAGTAAAAATTTAAACACTTTAGGCATATAGTTACTAATTACACTCTACAGGCAAACATCAGCAATTTCTCATTAAATAATACTCTGATCATTTTTTAAATTTGCTCAGGAAGAAGTCATTTTTCATTGAAAATAAAAAGTGAGAGAGAGCTATTTCATTATAAATATTTTAAAAAATATTCTACTTTAGTTGAGAGAATAAATTTCAACTACAATAAAATAGACTGAGTTTGATGTGTGGATGCATGTCTCCTTCTAAGGAAAGCATTCATGATTGTTCTCAGTTTTCAGAGGTGCCCAGGACTTCCCTCAAATAATAAATTCAAAAACAATTTATCACTGTCCCCAAGTAAAGGAAGCAACTGAGAATATGCAGTAGTGACACAGGCTGAGAGAGACTGCAAACGTAAGAGGTGCAATGAAGTGCGGGAAATGGGATGAGCCAGGCTTTACCATCGACAGCTCGCCTTGCATTAAATGTACAAGACAAACAGGACCACTCTTTCGATCTTTTCTTGAAATGGTAAGAATGCCCTCTTTGCCCACTGGGTTTACCCAAAGCTGGGGGATTTTCTTTCACAAGCAGCTACAGTACACGGAGAATCAGTGGGAAACTTTGTTCCAAAGAAGAGAAGACGGTGTTTCCTGAGGCTGTCACTTTGAGCATGAAAGTGGCCCCGACGGAGCTGTGGCTTTCAGTCGGTTCATAGACTTGGAAACAGGCTCGCGTCCACTGTTTGACTCAGACAGTGAGCAAGGGAGCCTGGAGAAGAGCCGGTGCCTTTGAGTCATGGTGTTGGCAAGCATACTGACCAGGTGATAGACTTCAAGAACAATCACGGCTATCTTAGCAGAAGTACATCTAAAATGCTCCTGAGGAACAAGGGCGGGGAGACTGTGGCTCCCGGACTTTGGGCACATTATCAGGGGAGAACACACACATACATGTGCTACTGACGAATCGAGGCCAACTCATAATGACCCTATAGGCTGTGTGGTTTTACAAGACAAGAGAAATCTTGACAGGGGTAGAAAACGTCATCTTTCACTTGCAGAGTGGCTGATGGTTTGGAATGGCTGACCTTGGGGTTAGCAGCCCAAGGAGATCATGCTTCGGAAAGTAGAGGGCCTGGGAAAACAGGAAGACCCTTAAAGAGATGGATTGAAAGTGGCTGAAACAATGGGCCCACACTGGAGATCCCCTTGCAGAGGGGTCTCGGGGAGGAGATGAGCCAGTCAGGGTGCGATGTAGCAAC